CTAAGGGCACAATAATGTTTCGTTTCGCTAGGCGTGCCGACCTTGTCGACTTATCGTGCCAATTGCTTTTAAGCCCGTTTTCGAAAACCCCCGGTGAAGATCCCGAAATCTCTCAGCCATTCTGCTGATTATTGGACATTTGATGGTACTAACCCACCCAAAATCAGCGGGCAGGATTACAGTTCCCGTTTTTCGGGGCTGATCTAGCACAGGCATGTGGTCTAGTGAGTTAGCTATGAAGATTAGAAGACGTGTCAGTGACGTCACACAACACGCTGATGAAGTGTTCTCAAACGTCACTAGCAATGATTCAATACAGGGGCGCTGTTCGGCTAGGAGGGGACATTTTGAACTTTCGCTAGTTCCTGTGCTAATACATGTTAGGCGACAGTTTAACACCTACGGCTCATAGGGAATTGTTAAAGTCAGCCACTTAGTGGAATTTGCCTGTCTTCACAAGGTAACTTGTAAGCCTCACTGAGTGCCACTTGTTGCCCACACCAAGCCGAACTGCGCCCAAAGCAGGTTCACTCGTCATCAAAGCGTCATCGATACTTCATCTCATTGACATGTTAGATGACCCGCCATCTGCTCGTATTCTTGGAGGACCCATGCTGCACCTGCGCCAGTTCGCCCTTGACCCACTTCTCATCAATCTTGCCCTATTCAACTTTTGCAGCTTCACTTTATTTAGCCCATCAAAATAGCCTAGCCATTGCCTTCCAGTGATCAACTGATTATTTCAGCCATCGAGGGATCAGCTAATCAGCAAAAGCAGTACAATCTTCCTGGGTGGAGTTCCCGATGAACGAAATCTTCCGGATGATTTGAAACGCTTTGCAAAGGGTTTCTCGGGAGCAATTGGGCAGCTGAAGATTAACGAAAGGCCATTCAATATTCACCGAGTAAGTGTATTTCCTTAATCCTGCCAGGAACGCCTCCTATAGAGGACATTGTGACTTCGAGCAGGTTTTTCAATGTTTTCAAACGCTCTGCAGAACGTCAATTGCATGAATAAGCCCCTTATGCTTCGCAAACATTTTTTGATTAGTTAATTGCACCTGGCTTCAGGCACCCACACACAACTCCCTCTATCAGAATTGCTTGGGCGATTTTTTTCTTAGACGTCATAGAACAGTTCAGGACTCTCAGATATTAAACTCATCTCAGGTTCACGAAACACTCAGGAAATAGGAAACGTCTTCATTATTCTCACTAATTCTTGTTGGAGACGACGGTAGTATGGTGGCACACAACACGCGCGCAGTCGAGATCGGTTCCCAACCAAACCTCCTACCTTCCTGGAGCGGTGAATTGGTCCCGGATTCGTCTGGGTGGATGGGTATCTGGCTTATACATTGGCTGGTTTCGCAAGTCATTGTATAGGCCACATCGCATTCAATAAGCCACTACGATTCTGAATGGAAGTAGAATGCGTGCCGCATCCCAAAAGGGATTGATCAACGGCGAAGACCTTATCCTTCAACCCCACTCTAAATTCATATTGTCATTTTTCATGCCACAACTTAATGATAGGGAGGGTGTAATGGCGTGCGACGCAGCTTACCACCCAAGCGGCTTGATTTTGAATCTCCGGCTATCGCTTGGACCAACTAAGCATCTTACATCCCCTCGGGACCAGCAAATTGGCTCCAAGCTAGTTTGGAGATTAAAAAACCCGACTCTCCCCCTCTATAGGTTGCTTGGCCCTCTCAAAACGCCACTTCGACTCGTAGAATGCACCACAAATGGGCTTACTACCCATGGGAGCAAACAATAGGCCCAAACAGATTCCAGTCGTTCCTACCTTCCCTGCTTCCTTTCCAGGTACCTTCTTTAGACCTAAGTTTTCCCAGGTCACTGCCCATTTGCTCGCTGCCCATAGGTATATGCGAACGTCTAAAACACTCTTTCACTAGAAATTCCCTAAAATCGCTCCCGTAATAGCCCCGTTCGAATCATATAAACCTTAAGTACCTTCAAAAGCGACATTTCCACCTTTATACATTAATAACATGTTGAATAGAGACCTGCTGGCAGCGGAGGACAGACTTGTAGACCATACGAACCTCCACTGCCCCTGTGATCAATGGAACATGCATGCTCCAAGAAACTGAAAATCGCGGGCTATAAAACGTGCTGAGGCGCAATATTAAACTGACTGCCATCGAGATCAGTAGCTTACGCGCAGCATACCCTTTCAAGTGCTCTACGATTGCCAACGGTCTAGCAGCAGCATGGCGCAGCCAGCGAGACCGAGTAACCTGAATGTTCAGCCTGCTCTGTCAGACAAGGGGGGGCATTTTCACTTACTGCCTTCACTACTTACCGGTTTAACAGCCTCCACTCTGGTGAAACTTGAGTAAATTCTTATGAACCTCGAGCAAGCTGCCCACCACGGTAAAACATGTCAAATCGAAGAAAGGCTCTCTAGATGGGTCGACACATCGATGAAAAGTAGCAAAAAAGCAACATGCCCCCCACGTCACCGAACTCCCTCGCTTTGGCCTTTTACTTCTGACGGCTACTCATTGCCAAACATTGCAGAAAACCCCCGAAACGCGCGGCTTTTGCAGGACGCCCGCATGTTCTTCGTTATAAAGCTAATGATGTGTTTCTCGTGGGTCCTCTTTCCATAATAAGGGACCCATATTCGATCAGTCCCCTGCAAAGGGACAGCAAACGACAACAACAACAACAATAATAATAAAGTGACGGGAACTCGACCTGAGGTGCATGCATATTCGTATGAAAGCGAAATTTCCAAAGAAAAACCGATTTATACACAATTTCAGCAACAGAACTCGTCACGTCATTTGGGGGGCAAATAGAGATCTCTTCACACACATTCGACTCAACCAGAACACACGAACAGATGATCTGAAAGGGGTCTATTTCAGGTTGTGAGGGTATGAAGGGGTTTAAGATTGCTAAAGAATAAATAGACTTACAGCATCTACAGGTGGAATGAGTTAATCAGCCGAGGCGGTAGTAAGCATTGGCTCTAGCTCGTGACAACGATTCGGATCTCTTCTGATTTCCCGGCATTTGCATCCCAATATTGCGCCAAATATGTTGGAAGTCCCTTTTTGTCATGGGATAGTCGACGAGGCTATTCAACTCGTCACCTCCATCTGAATAAAGAAGTTTATAGGCAGGTAGAAGCCTAGAGATTGGGTGGTTCGAACTAAGGATTCACAAAACTCACCTATGTAAAAGGCATGGCTGATGGCGACAGCTGCCAGTAGGAGGACGAAGAGCGCTCGCAGTACTCGCATCACAAAGTGGCTTGATGGGCGGGGTCGACGGCATATCGGCTCGTGTCTCCTCCCCTTCCCACTCCCACAATGCACTCAGTGGGAGGTTTTACTCAAATCACGCTAAGATTTTGCCTATGCCCGTCCACACACATAATTACAGTGAACTTTTGATGAGGCTGTACTATCGAAAACAGAAGGAAACCAGAAGAAATTACTAGCTTTCCATTCATTCTTAGTTAATATACGAAGTGCAGGCACATGCTTCCAGTCTCTTCTTGAGATAAAGCATCACGTGACCTCGCACTTGACAATCACGAGGCCTTCTAACGCTGTAACAATGAAGCGGGCTAACTACGACAAACTGTCCTTGGGAAAGAGCTGGCCGAATATCTTCTGTCAGATATGTCCTTTGATGGGTGCATTAGGTGGGCTGAGTTTCTCGCGATCTCATAGAAAATCCAGCGTAATATCAAGAGTAATTCAGAGTTAGATTCGTGAATCAAGGAGTAATTCGGCGACGGAGGGCGGATTAGGCACCTCGTTACTTAACGTCGACGGTCGATCATCAATCGATGGTTATCGTGAAATCCTTGAAGCCAAAATAATACAGCCAAAACTTCTAGAGACCACCTGTCTTGTAGAGAGTGCCTGTCAACCAAAGTGACGAAATACCCTTTACCATGGTGGCTCTACGAGCTTGATCCAGCTTCGCAAAAGTTCACTAGAGTGAGTCTGATAAACCGGAATCAGTGAAGAAACCGAAGTCCAAAATGCCCCCCCTCGTCAAACTGCGCCGAATTCTACTATATACAATTCGCTAAGATTGTCTGTGCGTGTTTGTATGTGTGTATGTTTGACCGGAAATCATAACTTCCCTTCAAATCAGTCGTAGAGAGTTTAAATCGATAAATGATAAGGAAGTCAGGCAGGAACACTATTAGTGGGTGGCAGGAGGTGATAGCAGCTGATAAAGGCTGACAAGAGGCCTTAGGGTCACCAAATTCATAACTCGCGTCACAGCAACGGTGGAACGTTGTTCCAAGAAGTGATATAGGGGGCTGACGTGAACATCATTGGTGGGTGGCAGGAGGTGATAACAGCTGACAAGGCTGAAAAGGGGCCTTATAAAGGGGAAGCTCACCAAATTCATAACTCGCGTCACAGTCATGGTCTGGACCAAGCGCGCAGAAAAGCGTGTCAGCCAAGTTCTAATGTCGGCTCAACGAAGTGATAGTTTCGGCACCACCTTTTCGCATTTAATTTAGGCTTTTCGAGTATTCTCATGCGATTGAAAGATGGGATCTAGCCTCGTAAATGTGGCTCGCATGGGGCGCGCTCACGGGAAGTGACTGTTTACACAACCCTTCCACCAAATTTTGAACGTCTCCCATTCGAACATTGCCCATTGAATGGCATGAATCTCTGTGGATAAGCTCATTCAGTAAGCATCTGCTTGGATTCAATGGGGCATCAACGCCATGCTTATACTCGAGCTCGAAATTGGGGTCTCTAAATTACCTACCGTTCTGCGCCTTCCTGAGCGAAGTCGCTTACTGGGCGCATATCCTAGTAAATGCTCTGCATTTTAGCTTTCTAATCAAGGGCAAAAATGAGAAGGTGGCGAAAATGCTCAGTCGCCTACTCGACAATCCACTTTGAGCACTCAAAAATTATGGAAGTGGATTTTTTT